TCGTTCTAGACCTGCCATCTTTGAAAAGTGTCCTGAGATAACTTCTGTTATGAATTGGCGCTATACAAATAAAATTGAATTGAATTGTTGCAGAGACGCTTGCATGAGCACACTATCAAGGGTTATGCCAACGCGTAGAAGGGCCTACAGTTCTCTTCAGAAAGCGGTACGCCTAACTCCAAGAAAAGCTTCTGACTGTAGAGATACTGCGGGCTGGCAGGGACGAGGGAAAGTCAACTACTAGAAAATCATCTAGAAGATGCAAGACGAAACGGAGTTTGCAAATGTGTAGAGAATCCAGCAAAATGCTTCTGTCAAGAAGGGCTACTGCGGCAACCGAATGCCAGTTTAACAGAAACGTACAATTTAGAACACACACTATCAATAAAACAGTGTGCATCTGAACAGCACAAATCAAGTACAGTAGGAGGTTTGGCACTGAAGATGACCTGGATTAAGCTTACTGCCAGAGTCTAATTATTCTTCAAAAGAAAACAATAAAAAGTAAATGACTCCTCAAAAAGTTAACACTGAGGGAGTGGTGTAGTGTTCAACAAATCTCACGTAAACATTGGCAGGTTCTTTTTGAGGAATATGAGCATTTCTGCTCTCTCTGCTGTCAGACGATTCCTCTTTTCATCCACGATATTAGATGCCGTGCTAAACAGTCTTTCACTTTCCACACTCAGGGGCACTCAGGAACTTTATCGCAACAGCAGCAAGGAGAGGAAAGCGAGCATGGTTGTTTGCCCAGTACTGGAAAGGTCTGTCTTTCTCACCCATCGTTGGTTCTTTCAAATACATTTACATTTGGATAACCGCTGCCTGGGTACCTCCTGCAGGTTGATCATGCTCCTCCAGAATTCTGTCGTACAGACTGCTGAAGCTGCTCTTACTTGTGCTTGGAGGAGAACCAGTACTTGGACCTTTTTTGCTGGCTCTGCCTCCGTTGCCCCTGCTTCATCAGCTGATGCCCTGAGCAGTGCTTGCTCCATCTCCTCAAGCTTTTGTGTCAGGAGAGCCTTCGCCCTCCTGGCAGTTTCTTCACCAATAAAGAATCGGACTCAAAAATGAAATAGGTTGAGTACAACTTATTTGTTGCTGCTGCAAGAACCCAGCCTGCATGCATGTACACAGCCACACAGCCACACACAGCCACACACACACACCTTCCCCCTTATCCAATTCATTGTAGGCCACATTAACAATCAATCAACATGTAGTTTTGGTTTAGCAGGATTTAACTTTCAGTTTAAAACTTAGCCAACATTAATAAATAGGGCATTAATAAAAATATGCCTCACCTATCCTTGTATCGAGCATCCACTAAAGTGGCAACAGCATAGAGGGGTTCACTTTCGATGCTGCTGAATCGCCTGCTGACAGCTTGGAGGAGCGTGCTTTTCATTGTTTTGATGCAGCTGTCAATACTGTTCTCCTCGGCGAGCAGGTGTGTTAAAACGGTGACCGCTGGGATTACGTCGACTGCAGTGGAGGTCGCTGAGCTGATTTTCCTGGGTAACTCCTCGAAGGGCTCCAGCACCGTTACTGTTTTTTCCAGCAAACCCCACTTGTTGGCTGACAGTGTTGCCGGCAAGTTGTGGTCGGCAGAATATGCACAGAGAGGTCGCTTCTCTTTCAGAAGGCTCTTGATCATATAGAAGGAGCTGTTCCATCTTGTTTGAACATCTTGAACAAGACGAGTTGGGGTGGTCGTGGTTCCCGCACCTTGCATTTCATGCTGCAGGTCTTCCAAGCGAGACTGTGCGAGTTGTGAATGCTTGAAATGTGCTACGATCTTCCTGCTGTTTGCTACTGCATCGCTAATGCTGCATTGTGACATTAGTCCCTCGTGCACAACGAGCTGCAGCGTGTGAGCAAAACAGCCCAGATTAGGAACTGCCAACTCTTTCATCGCAGCCTTGCATTGTCCCGTAGAATGGCATGCACTTTTTCCAGAGGGATCTCCCAGTGATTTAACATCTCTGTAATAGAGGCTGCAATTGTAGCTCAGTTGTGTGAACCCCTCCACTACAGAGGCCATGTGTATCTGAGTCAACCCAGTGCGCTGTGAGGCTTATCAGCGACATTGGCCAGACATCTGAAGTCCAAATATCTGTAGTAAAGCTCAGGGCTGGAACTCCTTTTAATCCTTAGGGGTTCCTGGGTACATTTTTCTACCATTCCGTTTTTTATTTTCATGCTATTTTGGCTGTGT